CAGAAATTTATACAGTTTTAGAAATTGTAAGTGTTGTTTCTGGTAGAAGAAGACCTGTTTTATTATTTACATTTAAAAAAAATTAAGAAAATTAATTATAAATATTGCAAAATAATTTTGCAAAAACATGTCGATTTTTTGCTTATAAACAATTACAATAACTTTTTAACCATTGACTGTAAAAATATTATTTTTACATATTTAAAAAGCTTGAATTTTTTCACAAATTTAAATAAAAAAAAGTTTGTCCTAAAATAATTTGGTACAAAGTTAGCCTCTTTTTTTATTTAATTCATAGCACCTTCGTTTATAACAATTAAGAAATCTAATTAGAGCTATTTAAAGTAATATACATTATAGTTTTAAACTACTAAATTTTAAAATTATTGCCCTTTAATGGAATCCGCCACAAAGCTTCAAAATATATGTAAAATCCGTCGGCTTTAAAACTCTCGGGAGTTGAAGGGAGGGGGAAGGCGCTGTTAACTGTATCTCTGTTCCTTTTTTATGTATTTCAACGTTTCTTTTTGAACTTGTATGTACTTTTTGAGTACATTAGGAATATACATTATTTCAATAAATAAAATGTCAAATAAACCACCTAATTTGTTTAAAAACAATTTTTTTTTAATTTTTTTAGTATTATTTAAGTAAAGTTTGAATGTAAAACAGAAGTACTTGTCATTACCTATATTTTGGGGAATAAGCCACAATTTAAGATTATAATAAGTTTATTTTTGACGTTTCGATTTCTACTTCATTCAGAATACAGAACATTAATAAATTAATCAAATTTTGTTTTTGGTTACTTGGTAGAAAATTTGGTTGGAAAATTTTTCTGATAACTCTTCTGGGTGATTGATTAGGGTGAGGAAGCTCAGTAGATCTGTTTTAGTAAAAATTACAAAAAAAAGTTATTGACAAAACTTGTAGACAGCTTTAAACTCGACATTTTCAAATTAGTTACAATCTTACAGGGTGTTCTATAAGATGGTGGCAGACCAAACTTATGTTCTTTAAATGAAACACCCTGTATTTTATTTTTAATTTGAAATCTGCTTCACTTCCACATCACAACAATGTAAAGTTTTATTATGTTATAACCAATATTACCTGAAAATTGTATCAAGTTTAACTCCCTGTATAATTAAAAAGGAGTATAGGTCCATTGATCTATTGCAACCATAATTTTTTAATAATTGTTAAAAATTATAAAACATAATCGTTTTCATAATATTCGTTAAATAAAATACATGGTAAGTCAAAATGCAAGTACATTATTTTCTTGGTAATTTTAAATAGAACCCTGTATTTTATATCACTATCGAAAAGTACTAATATCGTACTTCAAATTTAATAGAGTACTCCCTATACATAAAGTTATTAGTTTTCTAGATATTTTTATTTTTCCATCAAAGTATGAATTTTGAAGGTATTTTAACGTTTACCAATATTATTGTGAGTTGACCATTATTGATTTGTCAGAAACTGACAGTTTGACATTATTGTTTATTAATTCAGTATTGGGGTACATCGTAAATTAGCAACAATTATTATTTAGCAATTCAATAATTTATTCAATTTAAATTAGCAATAATGAATTTTACTACTGATGAAATGATAGATAAATATGATCTGGATATTGAGGGAATACAATAAAAATTCATTACTATCAGCTAGAACGGTTTCCAGATAGGCGACAACCTAGACAAGATACATTTGACAAATTAAAAGATCGATTTAACCGCACTGGTTCAGTGAATTATGAAAAACATGAACGAAAAAAACTAGTGTGACAGAGGAAAACGAAATGAGTGTGTTGATGGCAGTTACAGAAAACCCACTCACAGGTATAAGGATTATTTCCAATAAGCAAGAACTTAGTTATTACTCTTTTCAAAACATTCTATCTAAAAACAAGATGCACCCATATCATATTCAAAAGCACCAAGAATGAAATAATGATGATTTTCAGAAACGAATAGTATTTTGTGAATGGGCCTTAAAAAAAATTAATGAACAGAGATTTTTTTGATTATATTATATTTGTTGATGAAGCTGCATTCCACTGAAACGGTTCTGTTAATAGGCATAAATAACTTTCACTACTATTCAACAAGTAATCCATACCAAATAGTAACACATAGTCAAACAAGATAATCTTTAAATGTGTGGGGAAGTATCGTGGGTAACCATGCAGTAGGACCATATTTGTTTAAACATAACGTAAATGGTAAGATTTATTTAGATTTTATCGTACATCAGTTACCAATATTATTAGAAGAGGTTCCACTTAATATACGTGAACAAATGTGGTGGACTTTTGCATCCATGTAGAAGCACCTCTATATGGAGTTGCTTCTGCGTACCACAACAAAATAGTACGTGGTGAACTTAATGATCAGTTTGGTGAAAGATGGATCTTAAGAGGTGGCCCAAGGTCACCAGAATTCAATAAAGTGGACTAATTTTTTTGGGGTTACATTAAGAACGAAGTATATAAAATACTTTCAATAACAAGGGATATAAAAAATAGAATCCGAATTGCTTTTCAAAATATTTCTTTACAAATGCTTAGTAATGTAAGTAACTCTTTCAATGACCGCTTTCAAGTATGCATAGATGTTTTGGGAGGTCATTTTGAACACCTTGCTTAAGTATGATTAGTTTAAATTACAGTTGTTTTTTATTTTTTTATGTGTTGTTATTTTTTTTTATTTTCTGTCGGTTATTTTTTATAAATTTTATTTGAAACAAATTGTTTTCTTTTCTGTGTTACTGAATTAAAAAACAATAATGTGAAACGGTCAGTTTCTGACAAATCAATCATGGCCAACTCCTAATAATTATTGGTAAAAGTTCAAATATGTACCAAATTAATACTTATCTAGAAAATTGATAACTTTAGGTATAGGGAGTATTCCATAAAATGTAAAGTACGTTATTAGTACTTTTCGATAGTGAGTTAAAATACTTGCATTTTGACTTACGCTGTATTTGAATTAACGAATATTATGAAAACGAATATGTTTTACAATTTTTAACAATTATTAAAAAACTATGGTTGCAATAGATCAATGGTCCTATACTCCTTTTTAATGATACAGTGAGTTAAACTTGATACGATTTTCAGGTAATATTGGTTATAACTTTTTAAATATCCGGTATAACATAATAAAACTTTACATTATTGTGATGTGGAAGTGAAGCAGATTTCAAATTTAAAATAAAATACAGGGTGATTCATTAAAAAAAAAACATATGTTTGGTCTGCCACAATCTTATAGAACACCCTGTAAGATTGTAACTAATTTTAAAATGTGGAGTTTGAAGCTGTCTACAATTTTTGTCAATAATTTTTTTTTGTAATTTTTACTATAACAGATCTACTGAGTTTCCTCATACTAATCAATCACCCAAAAGAGTTATCAGAAAAATTTTCTATTAAGTAACCAAAAATAAAATTTGATTAATTTATTAATGTTCTGCATTCTGAGAAAGATTTCCGAAGTAGAAATCGAAACATCAAAAGTAAACTTATTATAAACTTAAATTGTGGCTTATTCCCCAAAATATAGGAAATGACAAGTACTTCTGTTTTACATTCAAACTTAACTCAAATACTACTAAAAAATAAAAAAAAAATTGTTTTTAAACAAATTAGGTGGTTTATTTGACAATTTATTTATTGAAATAATGTATATTCCTAATGTACGCAAAAAGTACATACAAGTTCAAAAAGAAACGTTGAAATACATAAAAAAGGAACAGAGATACAGTTAACAGCGCCTTCCCCCTCCCTTCAACTCCCGAGAGTTTTAAAGCCGACGGATTTTACATATATTTTGAAGCTTTGTGGAGGATTCCATTAAAGGGCAATAATTTTAAAATTTAGTAGTTTAAAACTATAATGTATATTCTTTTAAATAGCTCTAATTAGATTTCTTAATTGTTATAAACAAAGGTGCTATGAATTAAATAAAAAAAGAGGCTAACTTTGTACCAAATTATTTTAGGACAAACTTTTTTTATTTAAATTTGTAAAAAAATTGAAGCTTTTTAAATATGTAAAAATAATATATTTACAGTCAATGGCTAAAAAGTTATTGTAATTGTTTATAAGCAAAAAATCGACATGTTTTTGCAAAATTATTTTGCAATATTTAAAATTAATTTTCTTAATTTTTTTTAAATGTAAATAATAAAACAAGTCTTCTTCTACCAGAAACAACCCTTACAATTTCTAAAACTGTATAAATTTCTGACTTATATTGTTGCAAAAAATGTTAATTTGGGATAAACAAATAAAATAACTTTAAAACTATTGGACCGATCACTTTAAAATTTTTACCCTATTTTAAGCACTACAAGACACATCATTTCATGAAATATAAATATTATAAGTTTATTTTCAAAAAAGTTATTAACATTTATAAAAAACCGAAATTTTTGACTTATTTTGCAACTTTCTAAGCAACAAATAAGGATAGAAACATTTTGAAAACGCCATTTTGAAGGTTTTTATATAACTTATAAGTTTCCTCTCTTCTAAAATTTGTTTAAATTGCTTCACTTTTTGCTGATAGCCGAAAAAAGCAAAAATTTGCTTTTTTCGGCCTTGTAGGTTTTTATTACACAGGTCCATACTACTCAAAACAACTGTCGGTTGCCTGGCCGGACGAGTGTCAAAAACAGGGTACTTTTTTTGCTTATTTCCCTGGCCTAAAAGAAAATAATTTTCGTGAGGGTAATCTAAAGAGTCGTCTTAGTTAGAACTAAAATTTGAAATATATATATATATATATATATATATATATTATATATATATATATATATATATATATATATTTGCAAGAGGATATTTGTACTTTTCAGCCAATATTACACTTAAATGATTTTTGTTTAATAAGGTAATAGGTACTTCTATATCATATAACAAACAGTTGGATAAACAAATAATATCTATGGTAGTAAAGTAACTATATAAATTTGTTTGATACCTTTGCCTAAAAAGTCAGTGAGGATATTTTCGTAATTGCGTTCAGATAGATTTGGAGGTAAATTTCCAACGAATAAAGCTAAATTTGGTCCGTGCGGATCTTGCTTAAGTTGTAAATAAAACCGCATTAACTCCATTTGCCGAATACTATCTTTTCCCAGTTGTTTCATTATTTCCCATGGTCTCTCGTTCCACGAAAGAACACGTTCAGTAACTAGAAATAATAATCAAACACATTCATTATTTTAATAATTCTTACATTTAAGTATGATAGTATAAATAAAAAAGAGAGTCGGTTCGAGGCAAAACAAAATTTTGCGAAGTTTCAAGAATATACAAATTTACTGCAATTAAAAAAACTAGTAAAAGTCAAAAAAATCAAAATTACACAATAAAGAACTACAAAAATTTATTTATGTAAAAAATAATACCATAATTATTTACTCATAACTGATGCAACGTATGGATTAGCATAACGAACGCATTTGAACCGTGAAAAGTAAGTTATACTATTCCAGTTGTATACATGTGAGCACCAAGATTTTTTGTCATGTCATTAAATGACATGACAAAATTTAACAAATTTTGTTAAAAAATCAATAACATAGTTAAATAAATTTTTTTTTTTTGAAAATGATATATTTTGAGACGTTCTTTCGCATCAACATCATCAATAGATTCATAATCATGGTGTCTCTTTATATAGCGTGTGCGTTGTGTATAAAGCTTAGTTCAGTACCTAGTAATTCGCTAGCATTCACTCGATTGCCAATCTTTTTCAAAACCATTGGAACGATAACTTTGAAGATATTTAGAACACGATTGTAATAAATTAACAGCATTCTTTAAAAATGTATATGTGGAACAACAGATCATACAAATAATTATTAATAATAAAAATTAATATTCGCATATTTGTTTGGATAACGTAAATGCTTCTTAATGAAAAATTGATCGAATAGTGTTCCCGTTCTTTAACAATAGCTGATTGAATATTTTTATGAATTACTGTACAAGTTTCCAATTAAAATGACCCTATTTTCCCATCTTGAATAGGAAAACCATGAACGTAGAAAATATTCTTCATTTAAAGGTATCCTATAATACACTGTTTTATTAAAATTACGATAATCCGAATCAATGCAATAATGAAGAATCCGAAAAATCACATGCAAGGATATCATCTATGTATATAAAATTTAGTTTAAGCGGACAAGTATCCACATCATTACCTATATTTAAACATTGTATTAGTCAGTTCCAGATTTGTTTTCGGTTGTTGATTATTTAGATTTAAAATTGAGGGTATTTCATCGAAACCACATGCAAAAGTCTCGCCGGAAAGCAATTTTGGTAATTGTAATTGTAATTGAGAATTATTTTCAGTTAACTTTGTCTTGATTTCTTCTGATATTAAGAATCCAATATTTTTTCGCTTTTTTTTTTGACTGTAAACATATTTTTGTAACAAGTATTTTTCAGTAGGGTTCCCTTCGACAAAACCTGTCTGGGTTCCATAATGTTAAAGAACGTTCAACAAGGGTCACCGGCCAAATTCTAAGGAACTCCAGAATAACGATTAAATATACATAGGGGAAATTTTTATTGTAAACGGTTAGTTTAAAAAGGGACATCAGAGAAAAAAAAACAATCCAATTACAGTAGAGACAAAAGAAGACGAAACGAAATGTAAGTTGGAAACACGGCCGAAATTTGAAGGAAGTGTAGGTTCTGCTTTTGTTAAAGTCCCAACTTTCGACGGGAAATCGTTATGGAACAACTACATGAAATAGTTCGAATCAGCTGCTAAAGCGAATGGATGGTCTGAAAAAGAAAAGGCTATAAACCTGACTATCGCTCTTCGAGAAGATGCCTTAGATGTGCTTCAGACCAAAGCCGTAGAGGAGACGGGTAATTTCGAACAACTTAAGAAGAGGTTAAATATGCGATATGGCCACGAACATTTGGAACATGTATATCAGTCGCAGTTTAAAAATCGAAGATAAAAGAGAGATGAGGCTCTTCAATAATATGAGGTAGATATTGCCAGGTTAGTACGATATGCTTATCCATCAGCTTTCGAAGACATGATAGAAAAGTTGGTCGTTCAAACGTTTATTGATCATCTTCGTGATCATGAAATGCAGAGAACAATGCGATTAGCTCGTCACAAGACGCTGGTTGATGTCTTATTCTCCGCCCTCGAATACGAGTCCAGATCCGCAGGCCTCTGGCGGTTACAGTAAAGTTAGGACTGTAAAAGAGGAAGGAGATGAACATAAACTTGACCAGCTCGTTAAAATGATGAAATATTACATACAAGAAAACAAAGACCATAAGATGCTAGTATTGTGGAGAAATAGGACACGTACGAAGTTTAGGTAAGCACCCTAGGTACGACGTAAATCAAGAAACTCACCATCAGAAAAACTAGAACGAGTTGGCCTTAAGGGGGCAACTTCGACCCGGAACTTTCCAAAGATTCTCTCATACTAATAGCTTCTTTGAAATGTCGTAAAGATAGTGTATATGTAGATAGAGCAATAAATGGTAAAAGGCATACCAGAACCATTATACGCTTGACAGTTATAAACAGTCGAAAGAAACTGTTATCAACGAGGTTGCGACTTCGGACCGCTACATGTGAAAATGCCAACATTAATGGAAAAATCCAGATACAATTAGAAATTGAAGCAAAAAAGTTCATCCATACTGTTATAGTTGCTGACATCGAAGAAGATATTATGATATTACGAATGGACGTAATGAATATTCATGGATTCGAATTGGATTTTAAGAATAAGGTAATCAAAGTTGATAACGAGGAGGTATTTCTTCATCCACATGATGACAACACTGTGCAAGCAGTCGTTAAAGAAGATACAGTCGTGCCTGCGAGAAGTGAAATTATCATAGTAGCACGGTTACAGGAAATTGTGGACGAAGGGACACCTGTTATGATGGAGCCCTGGAACCATGACGACGAGTTTGGTCGAGAAATCATAATTGGAAAGGAATTGGTGACTTCGGCTAAAGAAATACCTGTAAGACTTATCAATGTTAATGACTACCCAGTGACCATCAAGACAGAGACAAAAGTAGAAACTTGTGTAACCGTGACATCCATAGTCCGTCAGACGACAACATCCGATAATTCCAACGACAAATCCGACCAAACTAGACCTCCTTTCGACTCTACCGAAAGGAGAAAAACCGGGAAGAACTACCGTTGTAAAGCATAAAATGGATACTGGTAATACTAAGCCAATTCGTCAAACAGCTCGACGATTACCACAGGCGAAAAGAGAAGAAGCTGAAACGATTTTTTAGGAAATACAGAAAGACTGGGTGATAAAACCTTCTACGAGCCCATGGGTCTCTCCGGTGATCCTGGTTAAAAAGAAATACGAAACGACGAGGTTCTAAACAACGTTATCAAGAAAAATAGTTATCCTCTGCCTCGGATCGTAAATTGGCTGGAAGTAAATTGTTGTCTACTTTGGATTTAAAGTCTGGATACTGGCAGGTGGAAATGGACCCAGTAGAGAAAGAGAAAACAGCCTTCACCGCAGGATCTGGATTGTGTAAATTCAACGTTATGCCATTTGGACTCTGTTAAGCTCCTGCGACATTTGAGAGAGTAATGGAAAATGGTTTGAGGGGGTTATCTTAGAAAACATGCCTGGTTTATCTAGATGACATAATTGTCTTGGGGGAGACATTTGAACACCATCTGAAGAATTTAGAAAACGTTTTTAATCGACTTAAATCTGCCCAATTGATGTTAAACCCCAAGAAGTTCAAGCTATTTCAAACTAAAGTCAATTATCTGGATCATATAGTTAGTAAAGAAGGAGTGGCCGTGATTAAGGGAAAAATCAGCTCCTTAACATTTCTTAACATTAAGGAATGACCAGAACCAAAGGACGTGAGTGACATCAAGTGAGAAGTTTTCTTGGACTATGTACTTACTACCGGAGGTTTATTAAGAAGTTTGCCGATATCGCTAAGCCATTAAAGCGAATTACAGAGGAAGCAAGAGATTACCACTGAGATCTTCTTCTTCTTCTTAGTCGTTAACCTGATGCAGGTATCGTGATATCATGAAGCTGTTAGGTAATTTTTCCAATATTCCTCCACGTTTTTCTATCTTCTGCCAATCTAGCACATTCTGACAATGGAGCGCCAATGGTAGCAACAATATGGTCCTGTATCGTGTAGGAGATCTACCTCTACTTCTTTTGCCTTCTACTTTTCCCTGGATGGTAAGTTTTTCAAGACCATTTCTTCGAAGCACATGTCCAAAATAGCTTATTATCTGTTCTGTTATTTGTGTTCTTAGTCTTTTCTTTATGTTTAGCTGGACCAGTATGGATTCATTTGTTCTTCGGGCCACCCATGGTATTCTCAGCATTCGTCTCCAGCAGTACATGTCAAATACATCTATGTTCTTTTTGTCTTTCTCAGTAAGGGTCCAGCATTCCGATGCATAAGTAAAAACTGGAAAAACTAGACTTCTTATTAGTCTCATTTTTGTATCGGTAGTAATTTCATGGCTTTTCCAAATTTTTGTTAATTTTGCCATAGCGCTTTTTGCGATTGCTGACCGCCGCTTTATTTCTTCAGTACAGCCTCCTTTGTTGGTTATTAATGAGCCCAGATACACAAATTTATCTACAACAGCGATATTGTTTATCCTAACCAGATGATTTTGATTGTTGTTAGCTCTGTCAATTATCATGATTCTCGTTTTATTCCTGTTTATTTTAAGGCCCATCGTTAAGCTTACGTCTTCTATCCGTTGTAGCAGGTGAATCAATTCAGTTTCAGAACTAGCGAGGATAGTAGTATCATCTGCATATCTCAAGTTGCATATCTACTTCCCGCCAATGGTGATGCCACCGTTCTAGTCCTTAGTAGCTTTCCGCATTATCCACTCACCATAGATGTTAAATAAAATTGGGCTTAGTGGACCACTGAGATACAGACTGCCAAAATGCATTTGAGACCTTGAGCATCATTTAAAAAAGCATTTAATCACAGCACCAATTTTAGGGTATCCACTACCAGAAGAAGAGTTCATCTTAGATATAGATGCAAGTAATGTGGGACTTGGAGGAGTGCTATTTCAGATTCAAGGAAGACAGGAACGAGTCCTTGGATATTTTAGTAAAGTTCTAAAAAATAAATAATGTTCTTGGATATTTTAGTAATGTGAAATCAGTAGAGTACTTCTATCAATACCTCTATGGAAGGAAGTTTTTAATCCAAACCGACCATGCCGCCCTTAAGTGATTGATGCAATTTAAGAATCCAGAGGGTCAGATAGCCAGTTGGATCGAACGACTCCAAGAATACGATTTCAAGATTGAGCACCTGGCCGGAGTTAGCGACAGAAACACTGATTCTCATTCCAGAAGGCCATGCCCAGCAGAGTGTTCCCACTGCAACAAAACGAAATCCAAGAAAGCAGCAGTGCTAAGAACAACGATGGTCAACGACGACTCGACAGTTACTAAGATAAGGGAAGAACAAGAGAGGGATCCAGTTGTACAGAAAAATTGAAAATGGAAAGAGGAAAACTATCGATCACCTTGGCAATAAATATCAAACCTATGCACAGTAGTTAAGATGTATTGGGTCCAGTGGGACTCATTTATCATGGAAGATAACTTGCTTAAACAAGTACTGGAAAATAATGACGCGTCAGAGAAGAGAAGTTAGTTTGTGATCCCAAAGAGCAGAATAGCCGAAGTACTTCGTCAGTTACACGACAGTCCATCAGGAGGGCATTTCCGTGTGAACAAAATCCTTTAGCGAATTCTGGAACGGATTTATTGGATGAACAGTTACGACGGCGCTAAAGACTGGTGTAAAAAATGTACTATTTGTACTACGAATAACGGGCCTTACCGAAAAAGGAGACAATATAATGTTGAAAGCCCGTTTGAAAGAATAGCTTTGGACATTGTTGGGAAATTTCCAGAAATTGAAAATGGAGGCAAGTACATGTTGGTAGTAATGGATTACTTCACTAAGTGGGTTGAGATTTACGTACTTCCAGACCAGAAGGCCGCCACCATTGCAGATAAGTTGATCAAAGAATATATCAGCAGATTTTTAGTGCCTTTGGAGATCCATAGTGATCAAGGAAGGAGCTTCGAAAGCGATCTATTCCAAGGAATATGTGATAGACTAGGCATGAAGAAAACAAGAACTACAGCATATCATTCGCAATTGGATGGTATGGTAGAACGGATGAATAGGACAGTTGGCAAGTATTTGACAAAGATGGTGTCCGATCATCAACGAGACTGATACCAATATCTTTCGTTTTTCACAAAGGCCTACAGATCTGCTGTTAACGAATCAATAGGTCAGACACCAGCCGGAGTCCTATTCGGACACGAGATGCGAATACTTTGTGATCTAGAGTTTGGGTGTCGGCCTAGATAACATGTAGCAGGTGAAGATTCTGTGATCGAATTACGAAGAAGAATGGACGATGTACACGAGTTGGTCCATTCCCATCTTCAGATCGCTAGCAACCGAATTAAGAAACGGTACGATACGCAAGCCGAAAGGGTGTTTAAAAGAACGACAAAGTCTGGCTGTATAATCCCAAGAAGCAAGAAGGTTGTGCTCTTAAGTTGAAGCAGTTTTGGGTTTTGGTCCATACCTCATTATGGAGAAGATCAACGATGTCATCTACCGAATAAGCAAAATTACGAGGGGAAAGCCGATAATAGTATACCATAACCGGCTGGCGTCTTTCGAAGGTGACCCCGGCGTAGATGAAGAAGTGGAAGTAAACCAAGTCCAAGATGTGTTTGACCTCACGTTTAAGGAATTCATGGGGCCTATAGAGGTATCGGTAAATGGTGTTACTACTAAAGAAAAGCAAGATCTACTCGCGCTTCCCGATAACTACTCACCGGCCCTTACCATCCCGGTTTGTATCAAAGACGCACCAGGGTTTGCATCCGTCTTTCGAATGAAGTTCGGTCGAGTTTCAGAACTACAATGCCAAGTGCCAACTCCCGGGAAAGCCTTGAAACTCCAAAATGCATCACGTTACCTTTTCTACCTGGTAACCAAAGACACTGCCCGTGACCGACCTATCTAATGAGGTGTATGGGAAGTCTTACTTCAATTGAGATAGCACGTACTAGACTCCGACGTGCAAAAGTTAGCCATGCCAAAGTTGAAGTGCCGCAAATTAGATTGGAGGGTTATCCGCAGTATGGTGAAGGAGATCTTTAAAGACACCGAAGTCCAGGTGTTGCAATCCGCATTGTTACTGGCGCGAAGAGAAAACCGTCCCTTGTCATTTTTATACAACTGGAAGTTGTAAAATTGCCTATACCAGCATACTGTTCCAGTTCCAGTCCCGACAAAATTCCAGGAGGAACCATGCTTTAAGAGGGGGGCAATGTTACGATAATTATGACTCATACATAAACTTAGCTAATTTAGTTAACATATTTTTCTAACAAGTATTTTTTAGTAGGGTCCCCTCCGATAAAGCCTGTCTAAGTTCCATGGCGTTCGAGAACGTTCAGCAAGGGTCACCGGCCGAATTCTAGGGAACTCCAGAATAACAGAATAACAGAATAAATTAGAATAGTGTCATTGTAAAATAAATTAGTGTAAGATTATATATAAATTAAATAAAGACTCTAATAACTAAGTGTTAGAACATTTTATAATAAATAAAATTAATAAATTAGATTTATAAAAACAGTTCATTATCATAAATCTAATTATTACTTAGAAATATTTATTACGTGGATACCTACCTACTAAAATTTATGTAACGTAAAAATAATAAAAATTAATTAAGTTCACAACGCACACATAGCAAAACTTTTTTATATTTCACTTTAAAGCATGTACTTCGAGTGTGATAGTTACAGCAAAGTTTGGAGAAAGACAAAATTATTTTACCATTGAGACGTATGACAGACGCAGGATGTAGTATTACTGACTATAATCTTCGTCTATTTTTATGTAGATTATTGTGATACGTGATACTTCTTACAAATCTTTTCAAAAAAAACAATAAACTTTTCAGAGATTAAACATTTGTCTGTATTAATGCTGTGTGAGAAAAGCAATAAAAATTTCTTTATATAAATATATTTATTAGTAAATTTTTGTTTATGTCTTCGTTCTTTTTTTTTTTCTTCTTTTTTTTGAGTTATAATTCTGACTTGAAATAGTTCTCTCATACCATATTTCATATATTATTCTTGTATAATAACATTATAATTATTCAATTAATGTCTCATTAGAAATAATTAATTTTAATTTATAAAATCAAAACTATTTTATTCAATTGTATACGGTTCTTCGTAATATAAATTAGAATAATGAAATATGTACCTCCTCTATCCAGTAGGACTTCGCTGCATCGATAATCTTCGGCGTGGCTGTCTTCTAACCCAAAACGATTAAGAGCGTCGCTGATGAGATCACCAACATTTGTGTTAGAATCTACAGGCACGGTGCAGTATGCCTGAGATACTTGTAACTTACCGGGATATACCCGAACTTCGCCAGCGTCGTTGTCCCTGTCTCTATAATAACAAAAACATAATAATTATAATATCTACATAATACAATAATTATAATGTATATATATATATATATATATATATATATATATATATATATATATATATATATATATATTGTATATATATATATATGTATATATATGTATATATATATATATATATATATATATATATATATATGTATATATATGTATATATATATATATATATATATATATATATATATATTATATATATATATATATATATATATATATGAGGGTATTCTTAAGAAATTAGCATAATAATAAGTTCAAATAGTTTTTATTTTGCAATGTATTTGGTTATTTTAATAATTATAATATTATGAATATATTTAAGTGTGCCATATTTATAGGCAACCAAATATACACTGAAGTGAGTTTGGGTTATTATGACATTTGTCAATAAGAGTGAATGTGAACAAAAAGTAGACATTTAAAATGATAATTACAGATTTAAAATAGTGTTATTTATTAATTTAAGTTGTTTAATTTATATATAAGTTTACATTCTGATGTAAAAAGCCTAAATTTCCATAAAATTTTTGATAGAATGGTAAAGAATTATCTAGACAATTGAAATAAGATGTCAATAGAAGGAAGTTAACCTTATGTGCGTAGTAGAATATTAGAGAACATTCAAATATCTATGAAATGGAACAATTAGAATATATTTTCTTTCAAGATTATTTTGGAACATTGAAATGATATAAATACTCTGTAATTTGGAGGAAAGAGGACAGTGAATTCAGTTAGTTAATTATTAGTTAATTATTCATTATTAGTTAGTTAGTCAGTTAGTATGGTATGGTCAGTATTAGTGTATTAATATTAAAAACAGTTCACTGGTAGGCAGTATTCAATGAGTAGTATTTGTCGGTCAAGTCAGTATACAGAAGACAGTGATTTAGTATGAAAGTTTTATAATATTTTGGAAAGTATATTACATGGAGATTGAAAAAATAGTATTAAGAGAGTATTGGAGATTAAAAATTATATTATGTATATGGAGATTAGAAGAAATTAAAATTATAATATTTATATGGTGATTGGAGATTGGAAGAAGAAAAAATAAGATTATTAGAAAGAAGAATAAACAAGAAAGCAATAAATAAAGAAGAATATTTTGCCGATTTATAAATGCTATTGAGAAGAAAAATATTTTAAAATGGTGGAAGCTGATAATTAAAACATTGTGGTGTATTTGGAGAAGCAATTTCACAAAAAGAAGGATAACCGAGGCTGATAACGAAGATATTGAGTGGTGATTAAACCCTTTATTTTGGAAAACAGTTTCATTTAGGCATTCAGTGACAGAAAGGTACCAAATTTTGTTAATATAATTTAATTATTGTAAGAATTTCAATTTTAAGATAGGTTGTTCTAAATTTATATTGTCTATATTAGATATATATGGTGTTTCATATTAATTATAATAAAGATATTAAAAAACTACTTACAAACTAATTCTTTGAGAACCGCGATAAAAACCCTATACTTATATATGTTATTTTAAAATACTCATTGCTTATACACAAACAAAACATCATAGCAATATATATATATATATATATATATATAATATATATATATATATATATATATATATATTTATATATTTATATGTATATATATATATATATATATATATATATATATATATATATATATATTATATTTATATATATATATATATATATATATATATATATATATATATATATATATATATATATATATATATATATTATATATGAGGCAAATGAAAGTCGTCAAGTATTTCATTAATTTATTCGAATACGTTTCGCTTTTAATTTTTAAAAGCATTATCAGTTCTACAAATAAAAAAGATTTTAAAATACAATTAAACAACCAAAAGGGTTCATACTGACAAAAACAATTTGTAGGTTTTTTTATAGATGTTATAAAAACTCTACGATAACTTAACATTAAAACTTAACAACTAAACGAGAGAAACGAAACAAAAAAAAACACAAGAAAAACTGTAACAGCACTATTGTTCATTTAATTTTGACCGATGGCTTCATTTGAATGTTGGTTTTAGCTCTTTCGAGGGCCAAACCACACTAATCTCTTCAAGTGTTTTCTATACATTGTAGGATGTCATAATTTACACATGTGGCTTATGTTGTATATATGTTTCTTTGGAAAGCAGGAAAGTACGATTATTAAGGGAGTTAGTGAACGGAACAGGAACAGACCTTTTTTTAAAAAAGGATTCATTTTTTCTTTTTCTTTAAAAAACAAACAACAAAAAAAATAAGAAAAATGGGAATGAAGTTACTGTCTTGTAAGTGGTTTTTTTATTTGTTATGTATGAGGAGTGATATATCGGCTCAAGTTGTCAATGTCGGTTCTCTTATTTAGAGACGATGAATATTTTAGAATTTGACACATTTCAAGGATGGAACGCTTATGATAATTTTTTGTTTGCACAGTATTTTGGTATTCGTGAAGTCTATACTGTGTTTAGTTGAAATGGCATGTTGTGCAAGGGCACAAGATGGTTTTGAAATCCTAATGTCGCTTTTGTGGGACGTTAGTCGACTTTAAAGAGAGCGGCTGGTCTAGCCAATGTAGCAGGAGTTGCACTCTGCACAGGGTACATGATAGACGACGTTCGTTTGTTCTAGAGGGGCCAATGGAGTTTTTGTCTTGAAAAATAACTTTCCTACGGTTCTGGTGTAATATTTTGACAGGTAAGTTTTTAAAAAGTTTGTTAAGCTTGTTCGTGATTTGTGGAAAGTACGGGAGCGAAGCATATTTTATGGTTTGTTCAGGAGTGAGAGGGGACTTGTTGGGTGTTTCAGTAATGGACTGCCCATAGCTTTTGGAATATAGAAATTTATTGATAATGAAATATATGAAATTAAAGAATACGATTATCGTTGTAAATTCAGAGTAGTTGAAGTTAAAGGACCAAAAAGAAAAATTATTGAAAATAACACTACGATTTATGTTCCAACTAAAGTGTTATTGTGACTTCTAGGGTACAAAATTTACCAAAATATGTGATTATTAATAAAGTGTTAATAAAGGTAGAAATATTTGTAAAAAAGTAGTTTTATGTTATAATTGCAATCATTACGAACATGTAGATGGACAATGTCATGGTGAACCGGTGAACATTTATCCTCCAAATGCACGGAAAACCAAATACTTAACTAAATGTGTTCAGTGTAGGGAAGATCATTTAACCACAAATTTTTAAATATGTCCTGAATACATGAGGGAAAAAACTATTAAAGATATCATGTCCCAAAATAATTTAAAATATAATGACGCCATTAAATTAATTTATGATAAATCCTATTAGTAACATAAAAATATTAAATCCCCAATTACCAATATATTCAGCATCCCAACAAGCATTTCCACCCCTTCCTAGTCAAGCGTTTCCATGTTTTCCTGGTTTTTCGCAGCCTAACCCCATGAACTCTTATAAGTACACTATACTTCTTCTTCTTCAAGTGCCATCTCCGCGGCGGAGATCAGCAATCATCATAGCTATTCGGACTTTTGAGACGGCTGCTCTGAAAAGTTCATTTGATGTACATCCGTACCATTCTCTCAGGTTGCGCAGCCATGACATTCTACGCCTCCCTATGCTTCTCTTTCCTTTTATCTTTCCCTGTATAATCAATTGGGGCAGGGTATATTTCTCTCCACGTGTAATATGTCCGAGATTATCTAAATTTCTTGTGTACACTATACACAAACAATTAATTATAAGGCCCAGACCTCAATCACCCAATCCTTGTATTGAAGAAGTCAACAAAATAACTAAAAAAATCGAAATTTCTAGGTTTCATGGGGGTATTTTAGGTAAAGAATCTTATCGAGAAAATTATTCTTCTTCAAGTGCCGTCTTCGTTCCGAAGTTTGGCTATCATCAAGCTATTGATTATACAACAGTTTAAAGTGGTTAATATTATTAAGGATAAACTCTTCAATTAATCGGGTCTAAGCTCGCAGATATGAATAACACATTTTCTATGGTACAATGAAATTGAGATCGGCAGTCTCAAATAAATGTAATTTTGAATACTTCATAAGTAATAAATCAATATAGGTCTTCTTTCAGAGACTTGGTTTAAATCAAATATTTATTATAATTTCGTACAATGAAAATGAAAAAGTTACAACAAGCTTGTAACAACAGAAATAATACGTCTCCTGGAATAGACAATATCCATTACCCAATGATTGCTGAAATCCCAGTTTCAATATCTATTCCGAAACCTAATAAACCTAAAGATTCCCCAGACTCATACAGACCTATTTCGTTGGGATCTTGTGTCATGAAAACTTATGAACGCTTATTAAAAATAGGTTAGAACACTGGCTGGAAAAAATCAGTTATTACCGGTATGCATTCAGGAGAGGACGCTCGACTCAAAAAGTTACAGCATCATTGGTTACTTAGTCCATTATTATTTATACTGCGGATGTTACCAGTTATATTACTGAAGAAACCAGATTACTTCAATACGCAGAGGATTTTTGCAGTTATACGGAAAATAAGTCAATCGAAGCTTCTATCAATGCATTAAAAAACGCCATAGAAAAAATGTCGAATGGTCGCAAAGAAATGGATTCTGCATCCCTCAAGAAAAATAAGTCGTGTTCATTTACAAGAAGACTTCCATATAAAACATCAGTTAAATATCTTGACATAATTTTAAACCAAAAGCTCTTTTGGAAAGAGATTTATTTCTTGTCAAAAAAATGTGAAAACGCAATAAATGTACTAAGAGCTTTTAGTCACACAAGTAGGAAGCCGACCCAAATATATCACTAATCTTCTACAGAGCGCCAATAGGTTCAGTTAGACTATGGATTATTTTATATGGAAATGCAAGTTTAACTCAACTGGAGATATTGGCAAAAATAAAAAATAAGTGTTTACGACTTTGTCTTGGATGTTTAAAAAGCACACCAACAAAGATTTTAGAAATC